CTGACCATCAAAATCCTGATATTACAGACTGGTGACCCCAGCATATTCATATGCAATCGTCCCAATGTGTGGTATATCTTAGTTATTTTTTTTCCAGTAGAGTTGAAAATTATACCTAAAGAAACTGTGTCCAGAGCCAGGCGGTGGTGGTGCACGCCTTTAATACCACCACTCGGGAGGCAGAGGCAGGCAGATCTCTGTGAGTTCAAGACCAGCCTGGTCCATCGAGCTAGTTCCAGGATAGCCCTCAAAGCAATACAGAGAAAAAAAAAAAAGAATATATAGAATGGCTGGACAGTGGTGGCACTTGGGAGGCAGAGGCAGGTGGATCTCTGTGAGTCTACGTAATGAGTTCCAGAACAGGCTCCAAAGTGGAGTGTATCTAGCAAGTATGAGGCCCTGACCTGGGGCCTCTACCTCCTGGGTGTTGGGATTAAAGGGCTCACACCACATCCTTCTCCTCCTCTTCCTCCTCCTTCTATTACTTGGTTTTTTAGACAGGCTTTCTCTGTATAACAGTCCTAGCTGTTCTGGAACTCACTTTGTAGACTAGGTTGGCTTTGAACTCACAGAGATCCACCTGCCTCTGCTTCTGAATGCTTTTTTTTTTAATTTCAGAATTTTTAATTTATTTTTATTTAAATTAGAAACAAGCCTGCTTCACATTTCATTCCCAGCTCTCTCTCCCTTCCCTCCTCCCCTGCCCCTCACAAACTCCCACCCCATCCCCCCTCTGCTACCCAGGGAGGGTGAGGCCCTCCATGGGGGATTGCCAAAGTCTCTCACATCATCTGGGGCAGGGCCTAGGCCCTCCCCCATGTGCCCAGGCTGAGAGAGCATCCCTCCGCAAGGAATCGGCTCCTAAAGTCAATTCATATGCCAGGGATAAATACTAGTCTACTGCCAGAGGTCCCATAGATTTCGGAGGCCTCCCCAGACACCCACGTTCAGGGGGGGTCTGGATTCAGTTCAATGTTTAGCTGTGGGTGTCTGCCTCTGCTTACATCAGCTACTGGATGAAGGCTCTAGGTTTTGGTCTTTTTTTTAATGGTGTGTTTTCTTGTCATGTGTGGGCATGTGCAGGTTCCTGAATCTCCTGAAACTGGAGTTACAGGCAATTGTGACTGGTGTGGGTACTGGGAACTGAATTTGGGGAAGAAAAGCACACTGCTTTTAGCCAGCAGCTGCTTCAGCCACTTCAGTTGTTTTAATCACAGCACCATGCCCAACATTCGATCTGTGACCCACGAAGAGCCAAACTGTAGATGCCTGATGTGCCCTAAGCAAAAACATCACTTCAAGTTTGTTGAATTGCCCACCTTTTTTAGAATTCCTGGACGCTATCTATGGGTGTGTGCTTGTGTGTTCTTACAGAAACTAACTTTCTCAGGAGATATGATCACTCTCCTCAGCCACCAGTAATGTTGCTTTTCTAGGCCTTTCTCATCAATGTCCATGGGGATACCTTCAGAACTAATTCTAGTGATGAAAGTTTTCCTTTTAACTTTGTTGTAGAATTGCAGAGTAGAGAATAGTTTTCTCTCATACTCTATGTTAAGGTCAGGAGCTTAGGCTGGATGGTTAAATCTGTTCCTAATTACCGATTCCAAACTTTCCTCTAACAGTCTTCTGTTCATCTGGATAGAATAGCGTCTGCTATCTTCCCCACTTCATTTACCAACTTTCTGGATGTTTGCCAGAAATTAACTTTTTTTTTTTTTTTTTTTT